ATTGTTAATAACTTAAAATTTTAATTTCCCTGCCCTGGCCTATGTGGTGCAGTGGTTGGAGCATCGGCCTGGGGACAAAAGGGTTGTGGGTTCAATTTCTGGTCAAGGGCATGTACCTGGGGTGTGGGTTTGGTCCCCAACCCTGGTCAGGGTGTGGGAGGCAAGCAATCGATGTGTCTTTCTCACATCAATAGTTCTCTCTAGAAAAATAAAGAAAAAAATTAATTTTCCTTTACTTACAACATTAAATAATAAAAAGCACCATGACAAGGTCAACATCAGTGGTCATAAATCCTATTGACAGCATGTAGACTTGATATGATGTGATGAAATGGCACTTTATCTCTGTGATCTTCCCCCCTATTACCTATAACCCTAGTCTAACCAAGAGAAAAACACCAGCCCTGGCTTGTTTGGCTCAGCGCTTAGAGCATTGGCCTGAGGTCCAGAGAGACCCGTGTTCAGTTCCCGCTAGGGGCACGTACCTCGGTTGCAGTTTGTCCCCGGTCCTGGTTGGGTCATGCGGGTGGCAGCCACTCGATGTGTCCCTTTCACGTCGATGTTTCTCTCTCTCTCTATTCCTCTCTCTCCCTCCCACTCTACCTGAACAAAAAATAGAAAAATGTCCTTGGGTGAGGATAAAAAATAAAAAATAAATAAATAAATAAAAAAGAGAAAAACACCAGCTACATCCCAATGGACAGGTGTTCTACAAATACCTGACTAGTGTACTTAGAATTGTAAAGGTCATCAAAATCAGAGCAAGTCCCAGCCATAGCCGGCCGGTTCAGGTGGCTGGAACATCGTCCCATACACCAAAAGGTTGTGGGTTTGATTCTCAGTCAGGACACATACCAGGTTGCGGGTTCAAGCCCCCTGTACAGGGGTGTGCAGGGGGCAATCAATCAATGATTCTCTCCCTCTCTCTCTCAAAATCATTAAAGAAACATATCCTCAGGTGAGGATTAAAAAATCATCAGAGAAAGTCTAAGACACTGTCACAGCCAAGAGGAGCCTAAGGAGACATGACAACTAAAAGTAACAGGATATTCCAGATGGGATCCAGGAGAAGAAAAAAAAATGAACATTAGGTTAAAAAAAAAAAAAAAAAGGAAATTTGAATCAAGTAAAGACTTTAGTTAATAACAATGTATCTATATTGGTTCATTAACCATAACAAATGTACCATACTACTGTAAGATGCTACTGGAGAATATAGGAATTCTTTATTGAATCTTCTCAATTTCTCTGTAAATTTAAAACTGTTCTAAAAACTGAAGTCTATTAAAAAAAACAAAAAGTCGAAAAAGGGACGATAGAAGAAAAACTTTATACCTGTATTTTAGTACTTAATGATACTTTTATCTTGTTTTTGAAAAAGTATTCCACAGTAAAGATTTTATTTTTATTCTTTTGGCTTTTGAACAAGAGGCCTTGCACTGTCATTTTACACTAGGACATGCAAATTATGTCACCTACCTTGCCTCTGTCCCAATCTGTCGCCCAGACCTCAGAATGGGGTCTGGGCCCTTTTAAGTCTCTGAAAGGCCAAGAGTAAGGCTGTGAGTGTGTCAGGGTCCAGCAGAGAAGGCCAGCATATGGTGAATTCTGTGCTCTGAGCTCTTCTGGATGCTGGGAAAGGCAGCAGGAGCCACAGAATGCAGAGGTCCCGCTCAGGCTGAATGGTGTTCCTAAGAGAAGCCCCTCCTCAGCTCAGTGGACAGCATGGAGTCATAGCATTCTAGAGCTGGAAGGGATCTCATTTATTGTTCTACCATAGTCCCTTCCTCCACCTTTTAGAAAGGAGAACACAGAAGCGCAGAGAGGGATAGAAGGCACCCAAGCCTCCAGAGCCCTCTAGCAAGTGACAGCTCAAGTCCTGCCCAGCTTAGAGCCTGGTGCTGCCCCCCTGTGGCTCAGATTGGCCCTGCCTTCCCAGGGCCTGAGTGTTTCACAGCAGTCTGAGTTGCTACCCCACCTTTCCTCAAACACCTTCCTCTGGTCATGTACAGGGGGTGGGGGTGTGTGTGGGGGGAGGGGGTGCACGCCCTGGTAGGATGAGGCCAGAAGGAGAAAAGAGAAGGCTCCAGTCATTCCATTTCCCACTTGACTATTTCCCCTGGGATGGCGGTCGGGGAGGAGAGCCTGAGAGCCACAGGCTGGACAAGGCTTGCTCCAGCCCACAGCAGCAAGTCTTGAGACCAAAGAAGTGCCATGGGTGTCATTAGGAAAGAATGCAGAGGCAGCAGCAGCAGGGGGCACTTCTGGGCTGGAGAGGGCAGAACTCAACTTCAGGCTGATTGGCCCTACAAAGTGAAACCAGACCTCCATGGAGTCTGTGCTATAGAGGGGGGTAGAGGGAGGTGGGCTCTGGTCATGCCACAGAAGTGCAGCCTCACTAGGGTACAGGAATCCCTGAACCAGAAACCCACCGTGGGCTTCCTCAGATCCCTCAGAAAAAGGCCACATCCCTGGAGACTGTTGTCATGGCAGCAGCTGCCAGGAGCTGACTGTCTTTCCTCTACACTCTGGCTACCCTGCCTGCCTTCAGCTCCTGCTACATGAAAAGGCCTGTGCTGCTCACCCTGGCAGCACATAAAGGTGTCTGGAACCCACAGCCCAGAAACAGTTTTACAAAGTGGTTAAACGTTCAATCTCTCATGTTATACTTCTGGGGTTTAAATTCCATCTCAGCTACTATCATCTGTGTTTCCATGGGAACAATCTGTAACCTTCCAGAGCCTTAGTTATCCCACTTGTAAAATGGAGTTTCTTAAACTTCAACCCTCACTAGAAATAGTGAGCTCAGCTAAATATCGCCACAGGACTTTACATCAGCAGTAGGAAATCAAATCCATCAGAAGGATTATCTCACAGCCCCCACCCCAATCACACACACACATTTCTTTGTAACAAATGTTTGCCACCATGGCAGAACCACCTTCACCTATTCCTTGTTGAGAGCCCTTCCTCTCAAGGGAATCCCAAATCAGCTACTGTCAAGCAGACTTAGAGCCAATACCAAGACATTTTTCCTTCCTCTTTTCCTGGTTCAAATTCCTCCTACTTCCCTTGTCTGCCTTCCCCCCATGTTTACCAAGTTCTCATAAAGGATTAATTTATATTGGTTTGGGAGCTTTCAGGGGCAACTGTACCTTCTATCAGCAGCACTAAAAAGCAATCCTGTACTGAGAAGTCTCACTGAGAGAGTAAAGGAAGGGAACTGGCCCAGCAGGGCACACACTCCTGGCTGCCTGCCACACTCAACAGGGAAAATAATATTTTTTAAAAAAATTGTTTCTTTATTGATTTTAAAGAGAAAGGAAGAGGGAGAAAGAGATATAAACATCAACGAGAGAGAATATCGACTGGCTGCCTCCTGCATGTCCCCCACAGAAAAGATATAAAGGTGAATACCTGTCTTTCTGCTGTCTCAATACAAAGAAAATTAAATGTTGGACAAAAAGTTACAAAAGTTACAAAAAGGAAAATTTCACATATGAATTTCTGTTTGTAAACTTACTAGATGGTCAGCCCATATTTGAGAGACGCAATCCCAAGATCCTCACAGATCTGATCACCACCTACCCTGAAAGTGTAAAACACAGAGAGAGGTTATAGACTGCTCTCTAGAAGAAAGGGCATTTGCGTGACAAAGTAGCATCCAGGCTGATGTGTGTATGTGAGATGCAGGCATGTGAGTGAAGATGATAAAACACAATTTGATCCCAAAACATAGGCTTGTAATGACAACTAAGTGTTAGCATGATTTTAATCCCACTACTCAGTGTGTGGTCAACAGAATTAGTGCACAGTTTAATATGAATGTCCTCTGTGCTGAATCTTTTTGGGTCTAGCAGTTCCACCACACACATACTTGCTGACTTAATGAATTAATATAAGCTTTCTCAACCTACAACATCAAGAGATGGCTGGTTAAGGATCTGAGTCTTGCTTCTATTATAAAAAATAATGAACACACACATATATGTATTTTAAAATTTATATTAATGTCACACTCCACCAAAAATACTCCCATTTCAGATAATAAATAAGTTTCCAGACTATTTGTACATGGACAAATGTAACTGTGATTTTTGAAATTCAAAGTATTCAGTCTTTTTAGAATTACATATTTAAAAACTTAATTCTTTCTAGAGTTCTAGAACTGAATGATTATAGATTTAGACTAGAGCTGCTGCTGCTGCTGCTCCTTTTTTTTTTTTTTTTTTATAATCTTCTCCCAAGGATATTTTTCTATTGATCTTCAGATAGAGCAGGAAGGAGGGAGGGAGGAAGAGAGAAACATCAATGTGAGAGAGACACATCGATTGGTTGACACACACACACACACACACACACACACACGACCCCAGCCAGGGGTGGGGACCAACCACAACAGAGGTACTGCCCTTGGCTATAATCAAACCCGGGACTCTCTGGTCCACAGATGGATACTTTAACCACTGAGCCAAACCGCCAGGGCAGACTAAGAGCTTCTACTTGCAATATAGATCCGGTGGCTCACAAAGAAATAAAAATCTTAAGTCATGGAAAGTGAAAGTTTATCCCCCTTAAAAGTGACAAACGATGCAAACCATGTTGGCAGAGCCTACATGGACATGATGGAGTTATGGGTGTGGATTTAAACTGCGAGAGGTGGCATACGATATTGATTAATTAAGGAATAATAGTCAAATTTCAGTGCAAGATCTGTACTGTATGTGAAATAATGGACCTTGGTGGCTGATGACGTGAGGATGAGGGGGGGAGAGGTGGTGGTAGGGGAAGCCGCCGAGAGGAAGATGTAATAATCCCAAGACTGGATGCTGACTGTCTCTGGTAAACATGAAAAGGCAAATATAAACAAAGAGAGGTGAGTGAGGATGCCCGGTGCGTTGGGCATCTGGCAATACCGGCAGATTGCTGCAGCACAGCCGTGGGTCAAAGTGGTAACTGGGGATCTGAGCTCGGCGGTGACGCGCGGACCTCACGTGACCAGGAGCCTATGTCTGCCCAAGTCCCTCTCGTCCTGGTCCTTTTTGCCAGTCCTGACACCGTCTGCCTATTGGTCTTTGGTCGAGGGGAAAAGCAGAAGGAAGTAAGTCCCCTCTGTCCTCTGAAATCGGTGTGAGTGTCGATGCTGCCCAGTAATCCCTGGGATCGGGATGGCAGAGAGTCCAGGCCTTTCCCTATACCAGTCCAGGCGTCTCCCTATGTCAGCCCCGCGCCCGCACTTCGGAGCAGAAAATGGTGGTTTTGGGGGTGGGGAGGTGAGAGGGCTAACTCTGGGAGGGAGCCAGACACTTAGAAATAGTTTGTAAGTAATCCTTAGCTTCCACGTCCCGCCTGAAAAGAAATGATCACTGAGGGGGGGGGGGGGGCGAAAGACAAAGCTTGAGATGAAGGGAGACATGGGGGGTTGTGGGGGAAGGCCTGGCTAAGGGAGAACCGGAGCCGGCTGGCGCTGGGGCAGCGGATGGTGCCCAGAAAAGGGGCGCGAGTGTCAGTCCTTCCTCCCTTCCCACTCCCCTCCCCCTACCCTGGCTGGAGTCCGTCTGCAGGTCACAGCGGGGCACCTCGAGGACAGAATGTCTGGGAGCAAACGGCCAGGAGAGGTCCGGTCCGGGAAGGGGTAGACAGGGGACCGGGATGGGGTGCGAGGGAGGACGCCCGTGGGAGCCGAGTCGGCGGCGCCACCGCCCCGCCCCTGCCGCGGTGGGAGAGGCCGAGGGCAAGGCCTGCTGGGAAGATGGTGGGCTTTCGGGAAGGAGGGGGCGGCCGGGGCGGGGTCCCAGGGACTGGGGCTTCACGGCCGGTGTAGGCGGGAGGACCTGGTCTCCGAATTAGGGAACGGCAGGTTTTGGAACCCAAAGCCCGGGTTTTGGTCCAGCCACCAAGTATGCTGACTGGTCTCGGCCTTTCTTGTCTCTTTTGAATCACTGTGCTTATGAAGACCATTCCCAACATGGACAAATCCTGCCAAGCAGATGAAGAACGGCCACAGAGCGCGCCCCAGACCAACGAGGAGCAGCCTCGGGCGGAGCCCTCCCCCGAAGAGTCTTGTCCGGAGGAGCCCTCTCCAGAGGAGCCGTCTTCGGAGGAGCAGTCCTCTGAGGAGGAGTTCTTTCCCGAGGAGCTCCTTCCCGAGCTCCTTCCCGAGATGCTGGTGTCTGAGGAGCGCCCTCCAGAGGAGCGCCTTTCTCGCCAGGACTTGTTCGAGGCGCGCCCTCCTATGGAGCAGCCTCCTTGCGGCGTGGGCAAACATAAGCTGGAAGAAGGAAGCTTTAAGGAAAGGCTGGCTAGCTCTCGTCCGCAATTTAAAGGGGACATACACGGCAGAAATTTGAGCAACGAGGAGATGATAAAGGTAGCAGAGGAGATGGAAGAGATGAAAAGAGTACGGAACAAATTGATGATCATGCACTGGAAGGCGAGACGGAACCGTCCTTACCCTATTTAATGTGTCTGGCCTTCGGTGATGGTTTGCCTGATTTCAGTATTGCCACTCCGAATCCCTCTCGACATCTTCTTAAGTTTAATTCTTTGCGTGGCTTTATTTAAGGTGTTTTGCTTGTAACTGGTGTAAAATTGGGCTTCCTTCACCCCCTATCTGCAAGTTTCCCTTTCAGTCATGTGTTTCATCCATTTGCATGGAATGATGGACGTTATATATTGTGAAGTGAAAAAAGCAATTTTCGAAAAGTGTATGTAGTATCCCATTTTTTGTAAAAAAAAATGTATATTTATATATTAATATGCAAAGTAAAATTGAAAGTATATACTTCAAAGGCTTAACAGTGACAGTCTGTGTGGTAAGATAATAGGTGATTTTTGTTTGTTTTTCATGTTTGCTTTGTTGAAATTTCTCATTTTTTCATGATGAACACATTTTACTTGTGTTGCGAACAAAAAAAAACAACAACACAATATAATTGGAAAAAAATGTCAAGCAATTTACTGTCTATCGCCTTATAAAGACAATGTGGCACTTAATAAATACTTGTCAGAACTTTAAAAAAGTAAATCCCATGTTTCTTCTAAATCACAGGCAGAACTATATATTTGTTTAAAGGTCAATCTTTTCCCACTTAAATAGGAATAATACTTGACTTACAGGGCTGCTGTGGAACCAAATGAGGTAAATATCATGTGAGCTGTGTTTTCCCCCCACCTGCAATATTCAGGATCCCAACCCCTAGAGAGTCTGGGAAAGAGGGCCCACTTGCACTCACAATTCCTGTGAGATTCCAGGCGAGTGCCACATTCCATTCCTGCTATTCTCTTCCCTTGCATACCGGCATGAATACTAGGCACAACTGCTTCTTCTCTTGGGTCCTGTTTCTTCCATGACCCCCATCACAGGGTGCAAAGCCTCACTGACCACTCTGGAGTCCCCGCTGGGCCAAAGCTGAACTGTGTCTCCTATAAATATTTGGTGAATGCCCCTTCTCTTACACTAATATTATACTTATGCAGGCAGATACCATCTCAGTGCTGCTTAAATCTCATTGTCTTAAAGAATTCAGCAAACTAGTTCTTCCTATTTTTTTTTTTTTCTGAAAGCCTCCCTTTTTTTCTCCACTGGACTCAAACGAGTTCATTGTGACTGGGGCTAGGAGGCAAGTTTGTGAGTCAGACAATGCTGTGTAGTTGGAACCTCCCTCCAATAATCTACAAGGATTTTGGTTTTAATTGCTTAACATTTGCTTTTAGGGTGAGTTCTCTTCTGGCAGGTTTGCCTTATCAATTCAGCTGACTTGCTCAACCTGTTACACTAAAGAGGAAAGTAAGGCTCAAACTACAACTTTTCTCCATCAATACAAGTACTTTGTAAGTCATTAAAATTAAATCTATCTATCTATCTCAGATGTTATTACTCCTCTGTGAAAATTACCCTTATAAACCTATGATTTTGTTGTATTGATCCTTTAATTCTAGACACACTGATGATAGTTAATAATTTTATAATAGTATGACTCAGTCATGAACCCTAATTTCTGTCTGATTAACTATGTAGGCTTAAGTGAGTGTGTTAAGTTCTCTAGAAGGTATGATTTGCTGCTCCAAAAGGATCACAGTGGGGGGAGGGATTGTTTTCCCCAATTAAAATTAAAATTGGGTATACATTTTATATATCAGTTTCCCTTGTTAAAAATGTGGAGACCTGGGCTCTAACCCAGACCCAGTAAATCTGCTTTTCTGTAAATTAGCATACAAGTCACAGAGCCACTGCTGCATACAATGTACTCCTGATTTTAGTAAAAATAAACTATGACACAAATAGAAGGAAATACAAATGATTATATCAAAATGAAAAGGGTGAAAGTCTTGTTGAAGCATATTTTTATTTTTATTTATTTTTTAAAATCTTTATTGTTGAATGTAAAATGTATTACAGATGTTCCACATTTTTCCCCCATTGACCCCCTCCTCCCCACTCCCGCCCCCCTCCCGCCTTTTCCCACACTATTGTCTGTGTCCATTGGTTATGCATATAAGTTCTTTGGTTTATTTCTTCCCACCCCCAACCCCTTTCCCTTTGAGGTTTGTCAGTCTAGCAATGAATTTGTACTTCTTAATCCCTTCACCTTTTTCAGCCCTCCCCCCATCCTCCCTCCCATCTGGCAACCAACAAAATGTTCTCTGTATCTATGAGAATGTTTCTGTTCTACCTGTTCATTTTGTTTGTAGATTCCATTGTTGATAGATATGTATTCATTGCCATTTTGTTTGTTCATATATTTTATCTTTTTCTTCAAAAAGACCCTTCATCATTTCATATAATAACGGTTTGGTGGTGATGAACTCCTTTGACTTTTTCTTGTCTGGGGAAGTCTTTATATGGCCATCGATTCTAAATGACAGGTTTGCAGGATAGAGTAATCTTGGTTGTAGGTTCTTGCTTTTCATCACTCTGAATATTTTTTGCCACGCCCTTCTGGCCTGCAAAGTTTCTTTTGAGAAATCAGCTGACAGCCTTATGGGAACTCCCTTGTAGGTAACTAGCTGCCTTTCTCTTGCTGCTTTTAAGATTCTCTCTGTCTTGAACCTTTTGCAATTTGATGATGATGTGTATTGGTGTGGGCCTCTTGGGGTTCATCTTGTTTGGGACTCTGTGCTTCCTGGACTTGTATGTCTGTTTCCTTCACCAAGTTAGGAAAGTTTTCTGCCATTATTGTTTCAAACAGGTTTTCAATTTCTTGTTCTCACTCGTCTCCTTCTGGCACCCCCAAGATGCGAATGTTGGCACGCTTGAAGTTGTCCCAGAGGCTCCTTACACTAACCTCATTTTTTTGGACTCTTTTTTCTTTTTGCTGTTCTGATTGGGCGTTTTTTGCTTCCTTATATTCCAAATCGATGGTTTGCTTCTTGGATTTACGTACTCTACTATTGAATCTGTGTAAATTATTCTTTATTTCAGTTAATGCCTCCTTCAATTCTGACTGTGCATCCATAAATTCTGACTGGTCCTTTTTTATGCTCTTGAGGCCCTCACTAAGTTCATTGAGCATCCTTATAAGCAGTATTTTGAACTCAGTCTCTGTTAGTTTGTTTATCTCCATTTCGCTTAGTTCTTTTCTTGGGGTTTTCTTCTGTTCTTTCATTTGGGACCTGGTTCTTGGTCTCCTCATTTTGGCTGCCTCCCTGTGTTTCTGTGTATTACTTAACGAGCGGTATGGGGCTAGCTGAGACCAGATGCTGCTCGTTTGAAAGAATTTAGGAAAGAACTGAAGCAGGATCCAAGACAGGCCAATCCAATGGTTAAGCAAGTGGCAACAGCTTAGGTGGGCCTGAAAGTTGGGTGGGGCGTGGCCTCAGGGAATCCCCAGGTCGGGGCTACCAGTGTGAGCCAGGTTGCTGGAGTCCCAGATATGGTGGCTGTCTGCCGCCCCAGGGAAGGGCTCACCAAAGGAACAAAGGCCTCTTACAGCACGTTTGTCCCCGAGAAAGGCCCCTCTCCAGCCCTCGCTCCAATGCCAAACAGCTCGGTTCTTCCCTGTATGTCTCTGGTGCCCCTCGAGCTGCCTCCCCTCCAAGCTTAGAGGGAGTGAGTCCGATAAGTCTGTACGTGGGCCCTTTAGGGAGCTGCCTGGGGCTCCAGCTGCCTCAGCCTCCCTGAGCCTCAGTTCCTGCTGGTTTCTCCAGCCAGACGTTATGGGGACTTCTCTTCCTGGCACTGGAACCCTGAGCTGGGCACCTGGTGTGGGACGGGGATCTCTCAGTCCTCAGGAAGGACCTTCCCAGCCGAGGTAGCCTCCTGATTTTTATCCGCCACACATGAGTGTGGGACCAGCCCCTCTCGCCACCGGCCCTTGCCCCTCCAGCCCTCCTACCAGTCTGGATGTAGCTGCTGCTTTAATTCCGTAGTTGTAGGACTTCCATTCAGCTTGATTTCAGGCGGTTTTGAATGATGGTTGTTCTGTAGTTTAGTTGTAACTTTGATGTGGTTGTGGGAGGACGCGACACCGCATTTACCTATGCCACCATCTTGACCGGAAGTCCTAAAGCATATTTTTAAAGTAACTAAAATCCACCCTGGCCGGTTTGGCGCAGCGGTTAGAGCGTCGGCCTGCGGTCCAGAGAGACCCGGGTTCCGTTCCCGCTAAGGGCACGTACCTCGGTTGCAGTTTGTCCCCGGCCCTGGTCGGTTGTGCGGGTGGCAACCACTCTATGTGTTCCTTTCACGTCGATGTTTCTCTCTCTCTCTCTGTTCCTCTCTCTCCCTCACACTCTACCTGAACAAAAAACGGAAAAATGTCCTCGGGTGAGGATAAAAAATAAATAAATAAATAAAGTAACTAAAATCCTCATCAATTTTACTACATAAAATTGAGATTTCTCTCAGCACAACAAGACCATACACAGAATAAAAAGCTAACAGATGACAAAATTATGTAATGCCTTGTACTGCTTCCTTCCAATTTGAGTAAAATGCATCAGAAATAAACTCATTGTTCTTTTTTATAATCAGTCCACAAAAGTGGTAAGCCAGCCCTGTGCCCTTGACTTTTTTTTTTTTCTTTTCACTGTGTGATGCCATTTGAGAGGATCTTTGTGTCTCCAGAACAGTCTTCAGGATTAGGGCAGCCTCGTGGTTGCTGGTCAGGCTAGATTCCGGCTGGTCCAGGGATCCAGGGGCTCACTGTGGCAGTTTTAGAGACAGGATGAATCCATCTCCCTGGTAGGACTTACTCCAACCACATTCATCTCCACGTTGTCTGGCTTTGGTTTCTCTGCTCCAGCCTGCAGCAGGCACTAGACCCTCCTAGGCTAATGGCCAGGCAGTCCTGAACATACTTACCTGGAGGAGGATGACTGTCCCCATCTGAAGTCAGAACACTACCTTTTCCTCCTTCTCTGTTTCTCTTTTGGAGAACGTTTTGTGTAGGAGGAGATAAGCCCCCAAGGACTTCTAACTGAGAACATTGCTTGGGATCATCTTTGAGCAAGAAGATGTCTGACCTGGGTCTGACCAGATAACTTGGGGCTGAAGCAGAAGGGTCTGGCCCTTCTCTCAGAGTCCACTGAAGTGCTCCCCATAAATGGGGATGGACTTCTGACAAGACTTCACCCAGTGCTCCCCTACCCACCTTGCTCAGACTCCCAGAAGGGCCTTGGATGTGCCCTGGCCTGTTTGGGTGGTTCTGTGGTGACTTTAGCTGTGTGTATGCCTGGTGTAGTGCTTGTGATGTCTGCATCAGCCCAACCCAGAGGCATAGGAGACCTTAGGTGAGCGGTTCTCAACCTGTGGGTTGTGACCCTTTTGGGGGTTGAACGACCCTTTCACAGGGGTCGCCTAAGACCATCGGAAAACACATATTTCCGATAGTGATTCATAACAGTAGCAGAATTAGTTACGAAGTAGCAACAAAAATAATTTTATGATTGGGGGTCACCACAACATGAGGAACTGTATTAAAGGGTGGTGGCATTAGGAAGGTTGAGAACCACTGCCTTAGGTAAAGGGGGCTTTCAAAACCATGTGGTCCTTCAACTCAGG